CTCGCAAGCAGAGATGCAAGTTCTCCTGGAGAACACATGTTTCCACTGAAGCCCGTCTTTTAAAACGAGACGATGCACCAGAAGAACTTATTCGCCAACGAGCTCCTACCTTGCTAAAGTATGGCTTCAGCCGTTCGGTTATGGACCTGAAAAAACCATGGTGACCCTATCAGCGTCAGAGACCAGAGAACTCACAAAAAACGACAGCAGGCCACACGAACTGACTGAGCCCAAAACTGAAAGATGTCAACCTCCAGCTGCGCAGCGCGCGCATATTTCAAGAGGCTGACCTTCGTCCATCTTGGCTTGGCTGTGCACAGCATTGCAACTTGTCTTTTCTTGCCAGTATTGGCGCAGGACATTGCTTGCAAGGGCTCTGGACTGATCAACCGCCGCAAGCGATTTTGGGGTGTGGACCCTTCTCACATGCTAGTTCCAACATGGCAAACAGCCCAGAGTTGTTGATAACCGCCTCGAATCTTGGAACGTAGTACCAAGGATAATCTCTCGCCTTTTCATTTCCCTGTGCAATGCAAAGTCCAGATCAAAATCGTGGTTCGTGCCAAACTGCATGCATGGTCAGTCGGAGTTGATCTAACATTGAGCATTGCTTGCATTGTCGCGTTGCCGCTCAAAAGGCCTTGTAGTTGCATTTAAAGGTGAGTTCACCCTTGCTAGCCAATGTCGACATAGCAGAAGACCTTAAAATTTGCACAAAGCTGCCACTGACCTGCAGACGCCAGAAAAGTAGCCCTCAAAGCCAAGCTCACTGTAATATCTTCCCTACTGGTTGCGAGCACGTCCTCTCCAGGACAAAGCGCGCAGTAGTAAACCTGCACCCCAGTACAACCACTCCTCCAAGCCCTTCAAAGCCCTCTCAAATGTAGCCCCATTGGCCGCACGCGGCCAGTCGGCTGCCCGGGCTCCACGAAACCTTGGCGCTGGTGCGTCTCCAGGGCCTGCGAAGCAAGAAGTAAACAAGGGCTGTGTCTGGAGGACTTGGGGGGTCTTTCCTGTGTTGTCGAGTTTCTATGATAGCATTAGCATGCTTGTCTAAGCCGGAGCTCTTAGGCTTACAGTTGGGATGTGATTGGACACTGGCTGCGTGGCTGGGGTGGCCAAGCTGAAAAGGCCTCCGTTGTAGCAGGCATGGCTGTTTCATGATGAAGATGTTCAAAGGCCTGAGGACTAACTCCAAATTGACGTTCGGTGCAGCAGCACTTCCCTCAACACCCGTTGGAGTTGACAATTTAGGATCATGGCCTTCAAGCAGGCTGTAAACAGGATTGAAAACTCTTGCCGCCTTGCATCTACAAATGCACTTGTCTTGAGCAGCTCGGTCGCGTAAAACCCCTCTGCCACCTCCCGAATGCATCCACAAACCCGCTGCCTGAAAATCACACCGAGAGCATGCACTGATTCAGGTTTTGCACTGCCTCTGCTTTGAGAAGCGCCACGAGAGGTCACGTGAGCCTGGATGCATCATCAAAGCTGTGCTTAGCGCAGAGCCGAAACCTTGGAAACTGTACCTCCTATTGTAGCAACGCTTGAGCAGGATCAGGTAACCCGCATACTTCCACGTACAACTCTCTGCCAAGTGACAGCCAGAGCAGCGTGTGTCGCAACAGTGTTGTGCTGAAAACCTCCAGCAGAACCATCACCGTTCTCATAATTACTCTTCTCATTATTGTTTCCGCACGGTTTTGCCTGTATAGTCTTAGTATTTCACCATGTTATGACTGTTTATGCATAGGCCTGCCCCCCTAGGACTGCAATCCGGCTGACCTTACAATCTCTCGATAAAACTGCTGAAACTTGGGCTTGCGAGTCTACACCCAAGACAAGAGTGAAAGGACACAGACATGGATTCTGCAAAAGACCTGTAGCATCCTCACGACGTGAAACGCACAACCTAGCCAACAACCCTAAACCAGTCAAAACCATGGCCTTCCTGCCGGGCTTTCAGCAGGACGTCGACAGCCTCGCGCCTCCGTGTCAAGTACTCTGGACAGAATGGTGGAGTCGGAGTTCATGGCTTGTGGAAGCATGTAGTAGTCCTGAAATCGAAGTTCATCACAGCTATCAACTGGAACTTTAATAAGGCCGCCCGAAATCCTGTCGATGCTTGATACGTGGACCCAGAATTGCGTGAGTCAAAGAATGTTTAGATACTCAGATAGGCAGAGATAAAACCATTGCTCCCGGTTTGCGCATGACTGTGGCACAGAAAACCTGCCCAATGCGCAAAGATCACCATCAACAGCATCCTGCATCCGCAGACTTGCGAAGGACCCATTGCATATGACCAACACAGCAAACAGCAAGGCAAGATAAGCTGAGCTTGCAGGCCATCTTCCTTGCGCTTTGAATCGCTTCAAAGCCTTGGTTGCTTGATTGAAAATTTCAAGCTGGGCTGCATGGTGGCCACAAATATAACATGGATTCGCGAAGCCTTTGGACCGAAAGGTCCAGACATGTCTCTTACACTGGTCAAGATGCTGCAGATGCTGCCAACTCTTCCCGTGGGCAATGAGCCCGTCTTCTGAGCTCCAGCAACATCCAACGCTTTATGTTTCCATGGATCCTTCTCGAAAGTGACAAGTATTTCAGAACTTGCGCCTCTCTGGCCTAGAGATTTAAGGCAAGGCATCGGGCTGAGCATGATGAACCAGAAAACTATAATCTGCAGGAGTCCTACGCAATACAAAAGCCGCGTGTAGAATCTTGGCATTGAAGATAGCTCATGAAGACTTGCCGCGAAACCCACCCGAATTAAGGCAAGACCAGCAATACCGAAGGGCTGTGAGGATAGGTCCGAACGGTGCATTTGAATTGTGCTCCTCTTCGCCGAGCTAGGGGTAGGGCGGGTAGGGTTTGCGGTTGGGACTTTGAAGGATGAGCGCTTTGGACGCCAGGGGGTCCCCGTTTTAAGCTTTTGACCGGCACAGCTTTACCTTGTGTGTAGAGTTCAAGAACTACCTTCAGGTGGGAAGTCACAAAAAAGGCAAGGGACTGCCACAGTAACTTCCACTGGCTGATTGTACCGGACTTGTTGGGGTCCTGTGAGATGTCTGGTCCATAGGTAGGAGCACTGCAGTGGCACGATATGACACGACCAAGTATCCCGAATCCACGAGTGAGTCCGAACTACTAATATCATCGGAAACGCAGAGACCAGCCTCTTTTTCGAGGCTTCTACATGGTCTGATATGTTAAGAACATGCCAACAAGAGTACACATCAACTTGGCAAGTGCCACCAATTAGGACTTAGGCATTGGTGCAGCCATGAAAGTTTCCATGCAGCCATCCCGAGGATGCTAAATGCCCCCCCCACCCCGACAAAACCAGGATGAACAAAGTCCATTACGCCGAATTGACAGAAGCGTGAGGGATGTAGATCCAGACTCCATCCGCGGCAAAGAGCGCACTATCATGCAAGACCTGACCGCGGACCCTACATCCCAGTCCCTGAACTTTGGCACTCAGCTCATATATGAACAGTAAGAGCTGGCTCCTTGTCTGCATCTGCTTGCCTAGCTTGCAGCTGCGCTGGTGCTGGCATCTTTGGCTTCAACCTGCCCCTGCAGCAGCAGCATCATGTCTCAACAGCAACGGATAAGAAACGCATTAACAACATGACCTACAGCCCTGACAGCCAGATTTGTACACAAAAAATTCAAGGCCTCATCCTGCCCTGCAATCATCTTTATCAGCGCTCCATATTGCCTTCGCTACCAGCCATCTGAGTTCTGCCGCTAGTACCTACTTCTGTCGGGATTACCTCTCTGCTCGTTTCTGGGATTTTGCAATCATCCTCATCCTGATCAATTCTGTCATCAGCAGCAGCACCACCAGCTGCCGCCACCGCCGCCACCACCACAACAACCACAACAACCACAACAACCACAACAACCACAACAACGACGATGACAACGACTACAATGACAACGTCGTTACCATTGTCGTGATCAGCTCTTTTTTCATTGTCCTTCTTATCACTGCCTTGGCCATCACATCCTCCCATTAGAATCACACATGTCCATGTGCTCAATGGTGAGAGTCCGCCTCGGCCTCTTCCAGGACTTTCGCCCCAGCACTGGTGCATCGGAGGAAGCAGGCTTCAAAGTCAGCATGGCTCCATGGAATGCAGTGGAGTAATAGCACGGTTCAGGGTGGAGCGCCCTAAGATCGATAAGGAGGAGGTGTGAAGGTTACGACTTAGGTAGACATGAGCTTGCAGAATCCAAGCCTAAATTCCAGGCTAAACGCTGCATTCCCAAGTGTACAGCTTCACGCGTTGGGTTGTCTCAGTCAAGGATTCAGGTGTCTAGGCTTGAGGAAAGGCATGGGGCATGCCGATGCCTCAGGGATTGTGTACACGGCTGCTTGACACCAGGTCAGACGGCAAAAAAGGTCGAAGTACCAGGCTGCGCTGCTTCAACTTACACTCCTGTCCTGATGGACTCGCAGTTCGTAGTCCCCTTCCAAACCCGTAGCCCATGTACCTGCTGAGAGGCAGAACGTCTAAACCTAGTTTAGCAAAGAATAGAAGGCTAAGTTCTTTCTCCGAGCTACCTAATCACACCTAGTCCTAGCACACCTCGCACCGCTCTTTGGCGAGCAACAGCCTGTGGGGCTGGAAAACGGTTCCTCGCACTTCAGCGTTGTCACATTCATTGGGAAGCTAAGTCTCCCTGGGAATACCTGCATGCTGGAGGACCCTTCTGGTTCTGTCCTGCACTCTGCGAGGAGCCACGCAGATGTGTCTTGAAAACATGTCGTCAGCATTGGACGCAAGTTGAAACTGAGACTTCCTCCCAAACAAGGAGCTAGCAAACTGGGCAAAGTAATGGCGAACTTGCTCTGGCACTATCAGGGGAAGGAAACTTTCCTTCATGGATAGTTTGAAGATACAAAATCCACGTACAAGTTCAGCCCGAGGAAACTAAAGACCCCACCAGTTGGGTTCCTTCTGCAGTCTCCGTTCACGTTGAAGCTCTCAGCTGGACACAGCAGTCTCAACCCGGCCCACACAGCTATAAAAGCCGTTCTTCTCACACTCGGAGAAGGCCTATCACGAAGGCATGGCGTTTGTCAACCAGATCCCAAGCCATGTATGGCTTGAAACGTTCTTGAAACGAAGGATGCACTGGCATCATGATCATCATAGGTGGAACGTTGTCAAACAGCCTTGCTTCTGACAGCTTCCTGATTGGCTTCTGCTCCGATTACGCTTGGTAACCACGTGGAGTTTCCAAAGCAAGGAAACCCCGAAGTAAACCACAAAATACTAGAACTTTATAGACACTTCCAAAAGGGGCAAAAGATCGTTCCTAAGTTTTGGAAACCCCCATGTTCTTAGGAAGGGGAGTCAAGGTGAGCTTTTGTCAGTAAGCTTTGGATATTTATCCCAAGAATGGGGCATCAAATGGAAAAGAAAATGCAAGATGAAATAGAGCCTTAGGGCCCTTTCAAGAGGCGATGAGAGAATGAAAGAGGAATATCTAGCAAAATCTTGGATTCCTGTAATCCTGAATTTCGAGGCTACTTCCCGCCTTATATATTTCTTTTTTCAAATAGATTTAAAAATTAATAGCAAAATCCTGGCTTCCTGGATTCCTGGATTTCCAAGCTACTTCCGGCCTTATATATTACTTATTAAGCGTAATTGAAGTTAATAGCAAAATAGTGGATCCCTCTATTGCTGCATTTTAAAGCTGCTTGCGGTCTTATAAATTCCGTATTAAATTCAAATAAGATTACGAGCAACATCCTGGATTCTTGGATTCCTGAGTTTCTAGGAAAATACAAAATCCAAACATCAACCTTTTAAAGAATAATGCCACAACCTCACAATGCTCCAGAAACACAATAAGAATAAAGCTTTAGAGGTCTCCAGGTGCCTAGCTGCTAGAGCTTTGATGTTTTGGTACCTCCTTAGGTTTTTGCACGGTTTTCAAGAAAATATTGCTAAAACCTGAGGAGGTACTTAAAAAAAACCAAAGTGTATAGGTGAAAATCTTGCCAAAACCTAAGGAGGTACAAAAAAGCACAAAAAAACAAAGTTTCGGAGGTCTTGGGCTTGGAGGTCTCAGGAATTTTGGTTTTCTTGGTACCTCCTCACGTTTTGGCAATATTTTCCTTGAAAA